CTTGAGGAAACAGGGGCTAGGAAATAACTGAAAACCAGTTCATCTTGACCTACATGAGCCGATTCACTAGCATAACCATAAAGGTTATAACAATAATTCATCGAGATGATTTATACACGAGTAACTCATTCTTAGACACATCAGTTGAAAACGGAGGCCACAATTTACAATAAATGAAATCCTATCAAATTACTGAAAAGGTATAGGCTAAAAATAGAATTGTAAATGAGTTACTATTTTTTTTTAAATGAACCTGTGCTTTTTGAGGAATCTTTGGCATGCAGCACTGTGTGTGACTTTGTGGAACAGGGTCCCACCTCTTCAGATGTATGTGACCACATCATGCCCACCACCAAGTTTCCCACAGTCCTTCACCACAGTCCAGCACCCGGTCCCCACCCTCCTGCTCCTGTAGCCTCCGTTCTGCCGTCCAATTTCTAGAGTTTGCTTTGGTTCAGTCTTGCTTGCTCCTTTGCTTTGTTTCTTCACATTCCACTTCCGAGTGAAACAAACTGGTATTTCTCTTCCTCCTTTTGACTTCTCTTAGCATCCCTGATGAGTGACTTTTAATTCTATGTCACTTTCAGGGATGTTTCCTTTTCCAAGATCTAGTCCCTCTAGATCGACTTGCACGTGGGTGCCACCCACCCTTCTGTCTGCAGTTCTGCCCTTTTGTTGCAGCTACACCTCTGGCCTCGAACTTTCTGCGCGGTGTCTCCAATTTTTAAAATCAAGCCCCTTCGCCCCCTTGGGCTTCCTCATCTGTTTCAGCTATTTGAGTCTCTCTTGCTGGGCTATAAAATCTTGGATTCATACCAGATTCCTCCTTCCAGTCTATTCACCTCTCCCTTCTTAATCTAATCAGTAGTGAATTCTTTGCCAAATCATTCCTTTTCATCCCCCCTGCCTTATTGCTAATCCAGACCTTTATCTATCTCATACCTACACTATCGCGCCAGCCTCCTAGCGAGACGGCTCCAGCCAGTCTTGAGCTCCTGCCCTCCAGATTTGTCTCTGAGCTTTGCAGGGCCAGTTCTGTTTGCAAGCATGCCCTGCCATGCCTGTCCATTTCAGGGGCATGTCTGAGCTCCTCTCCACCCCCTTCTCTTTCCCTCAATGACCATTTTCCTAGTGTATATGTCTTGGAGGCATATTCCTAGTGTGTGTGCCTCCCTGCCGGGCCCACCTTCTCTAGAAAAACTTCCATATTTTCCTATCTGAGTTCTTCCTGTCACACCAAGCAAGTGCACAGGGGACTACACTTTCTGATGGCTGGCTCCCACCTGGAGTGAAGTCAGCCAGTGACTTTTTGCACCTTGCTTTTTTCACTCAATGTGTATTGAGTAAAATCGTCTTTCACTTCTTATTGGCATATGTTTCTCTAATGTTTTTTAATGCCTGTGACTACGGAAGTATCAGCAGACATTTAATCAGTCTCCAATGGGTGGTTTTTCCAGTTTTGTTATTTTTCAACATGCCATCATGGACATTGCTTCAAATCTTGAGGAACGGTAATAGCCAAGGGTGAAATTATAGCATAGGTATCACCAAATTGAAAGTTTGTATATTTTAAATTTGCACAGAGAGAACGTAAGTTGTCTTTTGAAAGAATTTTTACGTCAGCTCCCACTTTTACGAGTGCTCATTTTCCTGCTACGCCACCCAGGATTTGCTGAATGGCTTTTTTTTTTTTTTTTAAAGATTTACTTATTTATTTGTAGAAGAATTGGAGTGTAGGCCAGAGGTGAGGGTGAGAGGACTCACCAGAGACAGAGTGGGAAGCAAACAAGGTGGATCTACTGAAACACACTGCTGAGGGGAGCAGCGGGTGAGACAGGAGAGGTCTGCTGCCCCTTGTGGGTCAGCTCCCTGGCCCAGGATAGAACTCAGGCTGTTGCGGTGATAGTGCTGAGACTTAACCCCGAGGCCACTGGGGAGGCCCCTGAATGGCAGATTATTCCCATACACTGTAGTATTGGAGAAAAAGTAAGGCCAGGAGAAGAGGGTATGGAGGACTCTTCAGTGACGAGTCTAGACTTCCCTAGAAGGGGATGATCTGGCATTCAGGACAGAAGACCACAATGTCTTTCTCTGCCTACCGTGGGCTGAAATCAAATCAGAAGGTCACGATCTATAGCATAGGGTCAAACTGGATATTTATTTTCTTTTTAGGGACAGGAACATAAGTGAAATGAGCTCTCATTGTCTTAACCCTCAGGAATTCTCCAAAGGGATGGTACTATGCAAATTTTGTGAACTCAGAACAGCAGAGCTTACGCTGGATCAAGACAACACTGCCCGTAGGTGTTTCCTCTCTGTCCTCTTAACTGCTTTTGTCACACCAGATGTTTCCTGTGTCAGCCAGTAGGAGAGAAGAAGTCAGGCGTCTCTTAATGGCTTCACTGTTTAGCTCCTCCACTTAGCTACCCTTTTTGAAGTCTCAAGATTTATAGAACTATAAATGTCATTTACCACTGTGTGCTATTTCAGACTCCTCGTCGGGTTTAGACTTCGGGTAAAAATATTTAGTTGAAATCTTATCAAATCTGAAATACACCAAGAAGTATTGTACAGGAGTTCATTCCAGTGAAAAAAATTAAATTGAGGCAACTGCAAAGTGTGTTACTTTTTTTTTAATAGTTGGATGGGGACATTTTGGTATAATACATGTTTTCTAACAGGGGAAGAAGGGCCTGGAAGCAAGGTTTGACCAAGAATGATTTGCTTGTTTGTCTGGTGTTATTAGCACACCTGAATGCAATTCCAGCCATGCAAATAGGCCATTTTAGGAGCGTGGGGATTAATTTTGGATGGGTTTTACCCTTTTTTTCACAACATTCAGAAGTCCAACTGCAAGATCACCCTCGGGGATGTCACCTCTCTCTGGGAACCTTCTCTGAGCTTGTCTCAATCACCTTAAGATGAACGGGTCGGGCAGAACAGGCACCAGGAGGGGAGGTGCCTCTCACCGAGTTCTCAGCCTGCCTTCCTGGGTGTAAAAGAGGCAAAGACCTAGACAGAGTGAGCCTGTGAATTCCTACTGGGTGATCAGCTCCCTGCCCAGCTCCTGTCTTTCTCTACTTGATCATTCCCAGAGTTCTGCAGAGTTTCTGAGGTTTTACAGTTTGTTTCCTCCCATCCTCCAGACTTCTCCAGCAAGCTCCTTCTGGCCCCGTGCTCCAGAGGGCAGGTCCAGGCCCCTCTGTGAAACTGCGCCACGCCTGGCCCCTGTCCTTGTGAGCCAGGACCACCCTCTTCCACCTCAGATTGACCTCAGCGGCCTGCTTGCCTGCCTCCACCCCTACCCCGCCGCCTGGGGCTCAGGAAGCGTCTCTACCTGTTGGGGGGAGCAGTTTACCACCCTACCCAGCTCCGCACAGCACAGTCTCAGGTCACTGGACTCCCTCACATGTCTGTGAATCCAGGAGGGCAGGAGAACGTTACCCCAGACCCTGCCCAGGGATGGTTATCCACAAGGGCACAAGTCCAGGGGCACCAGCCCTCCTGGGGCGCGGGGAGTGGGGGCACCCCTAAAAGGAGCTGCTAAATAACCTGGAAGAACAGGCATGGGCGATGGCGGTGTGGATTTGGCTCAGGTTTGGGGATTGCGAGGCTGTTCCTAGACCGAGGGGCCGGGGGCTTAAAGCTCCGTGTTCAGGCCCTGCCAGTCCCGCTGCTCCATTGTCCAGCCCGAGCCCGACGTCCGGCGGCGCCTCGGAGCCGCCCAGGCCCCGCTCAGGGCTGACTCGAGGGACGGGACAGGACGCACGTCCCACCCCGCACACCCCGAGCCCAGGAGCGGGGCCTGCGGCCGCGGCGGGCCCTCTCCGGCCCCGGCCCCCACTTCCCTGGGCGTTGCGGGGCCCGGGGCGCGGACTTCCCGGGCAGCAGCTGGACGGAGGGGTGCCCACGGGACGTGTCCACTTCCAGCGGCCCTGCCAGCGCAGGGGAGCCCCGGGGCCCGCCAGCAGCCAGGGGTCGGGGCGCCCGCTCCCGCGGGGCCGCTGGGGAGCCGGGGCGCCCCAAGCCGGGGCGCGGCGGGGCAGCTCCGACGGCCGCGGGGTGGCCCCGGCGCCCCCGGAGCCGGGCTGGCGTGGCCCCCGCGGCGCCCCGCACCCCGGGCCGCCTCCTCTTTCCGCCGCGGGCCCCGCGGCCTCCGGGCTGAGGTCACCCGGGCCCGGCGCCCCGCGGAGGCCCCAGGGCGCCGCGCGCGGACCCGCCCCGGACACGCTTCCTCGCGCGCCCCCCGCGCTTTCCCGGGCGCACCCCGCGGGCCCCGGGGGCGCGGGCGGGCCGGGGGGTCTTTGTGCCTCGCGGCTCGCCGGGACGTTTCCTTCCGAGGAGCGCGCCCCGCCCGCTTCCTCTCGGGCCCGCGCCTCCCCGGGAGGGGGAACGGGGGGCGGGGGGGCGCCCCGGCCGCGTCGCGGGGCCCCGAGCGATCGCGGCCGCGGCCGTCGGGCGGGGGGCGCCGGCGGGGCGGGGCGGGGCGGGGCGGCGCGGGGGTGGGGGGCGCCGTCCGCGGCCCCGCGCGCCCCGGCCCCGCGCGCGCCCCGCCCGGCCCTGCGCCCCGGGAGCGGCGGGGTTAAGCCCGGGAATGCGGCGCCAGGAATGCGCCGGCAGCCGCGGGCGGGGCGGGCCATGCTAATCGCATGCTAATCGCATGCTAATCGCATGCTAATCCACGCAAATGAGCCGCCCGCCGCCGCCGCCGCCCGCCGCGCGCCCGGCCCGAGCCCAGACGGCGGCGCGGGCGGCCCGGGCGCCGCGACCCTCGCGGCCACTGGGGACCGGGGCGGAGGAAGGGGCGGAGGCTCGGCCCGGGGGAGGAGGCTGCGCCGCCCGCGCCGACGCAGCCATGGTGGACTGACCGCCGCGCCGCGAGCAGGGTTTCCGGAGCGCCCGCGCCTGGCCCGCCGCGCCCGCGCCCCCCGCCGGCGCCCGCGAGGGGGCGGCCGGCCCGACCCCGCCCGCGCCGCGGCCCATGGAGGCGCCGCCCGCCGGCCAGGCCGCCCACCATGCCTAGGCGGGCCGGGAGCGGGCAGCTGCCGCTACCCCGGGGCTGGGAGGAGGCCAGGGACTACGACGGCAAGGTCTTCTACATCGACCACAACACGCGCCGGACCAGCTGGATCGACCCCCGGGACAGGTGGGCGCGGGGCGCGGGGCGGGGGCCCGCCCGGCCGGCGCGGCGGCGCCTGTTGTCCCGGAGACCCGCGGGCGGGCGGGGCGCGGGGGGCTCCCGGGAGGGGCGCGGGGCCGGCGCCCCGGGGCCGCCTGCTGGCCCGGCTCCTGGAGGACCCGGCGGGGGGCGGGGGCGCCCCCACTTCTTTGCCTCCTCCTTCCCGCCCCCCCCCGGACCTTTAGACCCGTCGCGCCCCAGGGTGCGGGTGCAGGGGCGCCCGGGCCGGCACCCCTGTCCAGGGAACGGATCCAGCGGCGCCTCCTGACCCAGGTTCCGATTCGCCGCCGCCCAGCGCGGGCCGCGGATCCTGGACGGCCCCTCGGGCCTGCGGGGTGGTCCCGGCCCGGGGCGCACGGGGCGCAGGGGCGCAGGGCAGGGCCACCTGTGGCATCTCTGGGGGGCCTGGGCGCCCCGCCCGCTGCTGGCCCCTGACGGGACCCCCCCCCCCCCCCCCCCCCGCCTCCCGGCCCGGTCCTGGGCTTGGAGGGTGCGCCCGGGCTCCCTGCCTCCCGGGCCGGCTCTGGGGTGTCGTCGACGGCGCTCCCCACACCTGAGAAACTCTTGTTTGGGTTTTCCTGCCCATGTTGAGCGTTTACCTGAAAACTTGAACTAACTCCCAGGTCTTGAAAAGACAGACTCCGGCTGGAAGGAGCCGGCCGTGGCGTGAGCCTCACACCTGAGACGTGGTCAGTGAGAACCTGGCCGCAGCGCGGCGTGGATCCTGGGCCCCCCCACGCCCGCTTGTATCCCTGCTGCAGGTCGAGGGAAGATCAGATAAAAAGTTCAGGAGCTGAATGTCCCCCAAGGTTGCTCCTGCAGCCCATCTTGCCTTTTGCGCTTGTAAAGAGTCTCTCTTTGGGTCCCAGTGACTGTGAGAAGGATCCCAGGTGTAGCTACTGGACACGTGCACCTTATTCATTGTAAACTTATATATTGTGTCATCCCGGGCTGCTGCAGCGTCTTTCACTTCTGAGACTTCTTTCCAGCTCTTTCTGGAATGTGGCCTTGGGGCTCCGTCACCTCTTGAGGTGCCTCTTGCAGCCGCCCCCCTCGGCTCACTTGGAAACTGAAATGATTTCATAGTTTATATTCTCAGATGCGTTTATTCCAAGAGTGTTGTTTTTGAAAGCGATTAAAGAGCAATTAAAAGAAGTCATAAAACGACATTATAAATTTATGGAACAATCCTTGTTAAATTATCCATGAAGGCATTGGTTTAGGTTTCTCCTCCTGCCAGGGGAAGGGCAGCTGTGCAGAGAGCCTGGCTCCTGCCACCCAGCCTGGCTGCCAGCTGCCGGCCCCGCGAAAGTTATGACAGGCCTCACACCTCCACAGTCTCCCCGGACATGGTAGCTGTTGTCACACAGACCTCACGCGCCAAGCCAGCTATTTGACGCATGTCGTTGTGCTTTGAAACTGCTTAGCAGATAGTAAATGTCAGTGATGGGGTGCACCCAACAGTGGCTTTTAACGCACCTGTATAAATATTTGACTTGCAGCGGTGTGGTCATTCTTTCTGCTTCCCGATAACTTGGAGTTTCAGCTTCTTGACGTTGCCATGAGTTCTTGGACTATTTCGGCGTTTTAGGTCCTCTTCTGCTTCCGTTTACGTGTTTTATTATATCGTCCTATTTGCGTGTACCAGAAATGAGGACTGGAATACGGGGCGCCTGGGTGAAGCAGATACAGAATAAAGTGACACGGCCCGGCTTCTCCGTATCCCGGCTTCTCCCACGGGTTAAGCATGTCTTTTCTTTTAAATGGTTAATGGATTAACAATTATTATAAACTCTGTTTTCAGGAAACTGGGTAACCAGCTCACCTGGCCGGGGGACAAACAGTTTTGACAAAGATGACTTGTTATTATTCCAGTTTTCCTTGAAGCTGTTGGGTCTTTGAGTACTTGTTAATGTGTATTTGGCTGGTTATAAATGTTTCTGGGGCTGAGTATCAGAGCTTGGGAAGGTCCTCAGATCAGAGTCAACATTGACATACTTCAATTGGAGTGTGTTTTCTTTCAGGACAATGAGGTGACTGTAAGGCTGCTAAATGGTGTAGGAGATGGTGGGAGAGGATGTTTGGAGTAACTATTAACTCCAGGCCATTTGGTTACACACTTACCAAGCACAGGCTAATTGGAGGGCACCCCTGCTCCTGGATGCGCTGACAAGCCCTGAAAACAGCCCTGGATAAACGGCGCCGGCCTGCAGGACTTTGAACTTTTCATTAAAATGATCGCCACGATTTCTCCTGCCCTATTTGTTAACGTTAAGAAAAAGAGTTCTGTGTTCTTGAGTCTGTCAGAATTCCTGAAGCATTTCCCATTGCAAGGTTAAGTGTGCGGATCTGACCAAGGGATTTTCCGAGCTCACCCTTGCATTCAGTAAGTGGTGTGTCGAGGGTGCTGAAGGATTGTTTTAAAAAATACCTTCACGCTCCTGCAGCAGATGACCTGACTGAGACCTGGTCCGACTTTGGCTGTTCTCAGCTGGGTAAGCGCAGAGGAATCTCCGAAGCCTTCTCAGCCTCCCCTTTTTAGGGGAGCCCGGTAGGAACTGGGGGCCGTCGTCGTGACCGCGGACACTGTACACATTACCCAGCTCTGTGCCAGCCGCTGTGCACGCTCTTTAACTGTGATCTTGTTTTCTTTCTCCCCCTCAGTCCTCTGTCCTATTATCTTCCGATGACAAACGAGGACAGGGAGCGACAGAGAGTGTGAGTTTTGCAGTGTGCCGATTGCAGATTGCCCCTGCTGTGAACGTGGCGCCGGCATCGGCGGGCAGGTAGTGCCAGGGGACTTGGGGCAGTGGAACCTCTGCCCAGTGTTGATTTTTCTGGCCGATCGATCCGTCTTTATTGACCTGCAGAGGTGCCTGTCAACTTTCTACGTGTCTGTGACTCCCCGGAGAGCCGCACGCGGGCTGGATCTAGTGCCGAGGGGATGTGGGTCGGGGACTCCCATCCATTTGACCTCAGCGCAGGTAGAACTTGAAACCCACTGTGTCCTCGGGCACATTGGCAGTTCTGTTTGGGGAAGAGTAAAGGGCTTTGTCGCCTCCCTGAGTAGCCCGTGATGTTCCTAAAACAATGTTGACTTGGCCGGCCCCGCCACTGTGGAACCCCGGGGAGATTTACCTGTCCAAGAAGAGTCTTTGCTCCCCCCACACTGGGCTCAGCCCCCCAGGAGTGTTCCTTTGCAGATCTGCTCCCTCGTTCGCTTCCTTTTTGCTCACCATGGACTTCCTGTGACCTCTCCAGCGGGTGTTGACGGCGGGTCATAGATCATGGCCAAATGGTCTGGTGCTTAAAACACCACCACCACCACCCCACCAGCGCATCTAACACAGGAGCCGGGTGGGATGGATTCACGGCCTCTGGGAAGAGCAGGGAGCCAAGGCGGGCAGCCCTGGAGATTTGGGGGGGTGTGGTGGTTTCATAAACTCGCAGATGAATTTTGCTTATTTTTAAATCCTTGCACTGAATGATACCCAGGGAGACAATGACTTTGTCAAGTTGAACTTACAAGATTGACAGCCACACACAGCAGCTTTGCATTAAAACTTGCGCGTCCCCATAATCTGTGGTTGGGGTCAGGTGTCCTTTCTAATCGAAGAAATGGGGCAGGGGAGCCGCCGCAGAGGGAGACAGTGAGGAGGCAGGGGTGTCAGCTGGGCGTCAAGGATGCACGGAGGTCGCTTTTTTTCCCCCTTATATCATTGTTGATTTTTGTACAGTATCGGATTTCTTCCCTCGTGTATAGTCCCCATAATTCTCTCTCCAACACAGCACGCCTGACCGTCACCATCGTCTCTTGTGCTCTCTTCCCCTGTTTTTACTCCTCTCTGCCCCTTTCCCTGCTGTGGGCCTCAGATCTATGGTTTGCCTGCAAATTTTGTCCTGATCCTTTGTTCGGTTTCTCTGTATTCTCCCTATAAGTGAGACCCTCCGATATTATTCTTGTTCCCTCTGACTTATTTCACTTAGCATAATAATCCCTTCTAGCACCGTCCATGTTGGGGCAAAAGGCATGAGTTTATTATTTTTTTGATGGCTGAGTAATATATCCCATTGTGTGTATAGACCACATCTTCTTGATCCATTTCTCTGCTTTGGGGCATTGAGGCTGTTTCCCTATCTTAGCTGTTGTAAATGGTGCTGCAGTAAACATGGGGGTGCAGTTTCCTTTCAAATTAATGTTTTTGTGTCTTTTGGGTAGATTCGTAAGAGTGGAATTGCTGGATCGTACGGTAGCCTCATTTTTAGGACTCTGAGGGTCCTCCACACAGCTTTCCATAGTGGTTGGACCATTTTGCATTCCCACCAGCAATGTAAGAGAGTTCCTTTTTCTCTGCATCCGCACCAGCTTTTGTCGTTGCCAGTTTATTTTAATATGAGCCATTCTCACCAGTGTGAGGCGGTATGATCATAAGTGACGTTGAACATTTTTTCATATACCCATTGGCCTTTCTTCTTTTGAAAAGTGTCTTTTTAGCTCTGCTGCCCTTTTTTTGATTGGGTTGTTTGCTTTGTTTTTGTGGAGTTGTATAAGCTCTTTATAGATCTTTGATATCCGTCCCTTATCAGTTGTATGCAAATATTTCCTCCCATTCTGGGGGTTGCCTCTTCCTTTTGGTTACTGTCTCTTTCGCTGTGCAGAAGCCTGAGTTCGCTTTTGCAGAGCTGCTGTGGTAGGTGAGAGGATCTGAGAAACCCTGTATTGTCTTTCTTTCCCAGTCAGAGCAAGCACTTTGGCCAAACCCACTGCTAGGGTGTAACCTTGTCCGGAGACCTATTTGCTTACTACTACTTCCTGTATCCTCTGAGATGCTAGATGTTACGTGATGTTGCTTAGGTCAGTTAATGATGAACTTCTGTTACAGGAATGAAAGAATATTAGTTGAGCTACTCTCTCATTTCCCTATTGTTGGGCTTTCAAACTATATACCCACAACCACCAGCCATCA